TCTCTCTCTCTCTCTCTCTCTCTCTCTCTCTCTCTCTCTCCCTCCCTCCCTCCCTCCCACTCTCTCTGTCTCTCTCTCCCTATCTCTCTTATTTCTCTAGCTCCCTCCCTTGCACCTGTAGGGCAGGAACCCAGGACCTTATGCTTAGTAGGCCAGTGCTCTTTCACTGAGCCCCAGCCCCAGCTTCTCACTGGGGGATTCTAGGCAGGCGCTCTACCACTCAGCCATTCCCCAAGTCCTAACTCAACAGGGGTTTGGTTCTGTCTGTGACTTTTCTTTTTGATTTATGAATGGCTGTTTTCTCAGGTCTTCATGTGGTCTTCCCTTTGAGGGACTAATCTCTTCTTATAAGGATACCCGTTGGGTCTTGGAGTGTGGCTCAGTGGTAGAGCACCTGCCTAGAATCCCCCCAGTGAGGGGCTGGGCTGTGGCTCAGTGGTAGATCACCTGCCTAGAATCCCCCCAGTGAGGGGCTGGGGTGTGGCTCAGTGGTAGATCACTTGCCTAGAATCCCCCAGTGAGAGGCTGGGGTGTGGCTCAGTGGTAGATCACTTGCCTAGAATCCCCCAGTGAGGGGCTGGGAGAGTGACTCAGTGTAGAGCACCTGCCTAGAAACCCCAGTGAGGGCTGGGGGTATGGCTCAGTGGTAGAGCACTGGTCTAGAATCTTTCAGGCCCTGGATTTCATCCCCAGCACTGCAAAAACCCATGTTACGATGAGTCTCAGGCCACACTCCTGTCTCATTTTAACCTCAACACTCATTAGAGACCCTGTCTCCAAATACAGACACATTCTAATGCTCTAAGGATGAGGGTATCAACACATGAATTTTAGGGGGATGTAATTTAATCCTTAACTGGGACCTTTTAGGGATCTGGGAGGGTGCTTCAACCTCCTTCCCAGGCCCGTGTACATAGAGAGAACATTCTGGGTCAAAGCTCTGTGGAGGCTCTGATTCTTTCCTGAACATCAGACCCTCCTCCACCATGTCCTCAGAGTCCAGGGTGTAGGTCACATTCCTGGGTGGAGGGGTAGGTTGTATTAGATGAGCATCCTGGATTAATATCCAAAATATCTTCTTCCCAGTACCCACATCAGGCAGGTCACACTTCCTTGAACTCCACTGAAGGAGATTTAATGCTCTTTTCTAGCCTCCTTGGGCACATGCACTCACATGCACATACACACATACTCAGATATACACATAATTAAAGAATAAAATAAGGGCTCAGAGAAATGGCACAGCAGTTAAGAGCATTGGCTTCTCTTGCAGAGGCCCCAGGTTTTGTTCCCTGCTTCCACATAGCAGCTAACAACCACCTGTAACTCCAGTACCAGGAGATCTGGCACCCTCTTCTGCCTTCCACGGGCATTTGCACACACGTGGTGCACTTACATGCAGGTAGGGAAAACACTCGTTCACATAAAATAAAAATAAGTAGGTCCAGGGTTGGAGAGGTGGCTCATCAGTTAAGAACACTGGCTGTTCTTGTGGAGGACCTGGGTTTTGAATCCCAGCACCCACATGGCTGTTAACAACCATCTGTAACTCCAGTTCCAGTGGATCCCATGCCCTCTTCTGTCATCTTTGAGCACTGCACAACATGGGTGCATTTACACATGTGCAGGCATGACACTCAAATATATAAAATAAAAATAAATTAAAAAATAAGTAAGTCCAAAAAAGAATAAAAATAAATCTTTAAAAAAAATGTCCTGTGTTGGAGTCGGGCATGGTGATGCATGCATTTAATCCCAGCACTCGGGAGGCAGGAGCAGGCAGATCTCTGTGAGTTCGAGGACAGCCTGGTATCCAACTGGTATCCAAAGTGAATCCAGGCCAGCCGTGGCTATAGGGAAACCCTGTCTCAAAAAGACTTAAAAAAAAAAAAAAGTCCTGTGTTGGAGAAAAGACATCACCCTACACACCCACATGACTCCATGGAAGGGTCTTTTCTAGTCACAGGTATTATAATAATAGAGACTGACACTAATTGCAAGACTCTTTTGCATACAATTCATAGGAAACGGGTTTTCTTTTTAATTTTTAATAGCCATATGATTAGAAGAATCATTTCACTACCGCTTTGCCATATTCAGTAACACACTCCAGAGCAAGGATGCATCTCTTTCAATAGTGACTGTAAATTTTTAGGTTTACAGTTGAATTATTACAGTTATACAACATTGTACTCAGTATAAACCATATGAGACATAAAATTAAACGAGGTTTTGACCTTTATAAAAGATCTCCATTTCATTATTAAAATACAGTTTCACACAGAAAAATTCATTTTTTTTTTTTGGTTTTTTGGAGACAGGTCCTCCTTGTACCCCTGCTTTCCGGAACCTCACTATGCAGCCCAGGCTGCCTTTGACCTCACAGAGACCCCCCTGCCTCTGCCTCCCAAGTGCTGGGATTAAAGGCATGTGCCACCATGCCCAGCCAAAAAAATTAGTTTTTAATGCAATTGACATTAAGATGTTTGCACATGCGTTTCTAATCTCTATATATCTGATTATTACTAGTCACAGTCAGTTACTTTCTGAGCTCCTTGGCATCTGAGCATGCATATGAAGTCATCAGGTG